TGGCACTTGGCAGATTAAGTATGAAATAACATCATGAAGAGCACCAGCAAAATATTGACAAACAGCTTTTAAGCTAACTTTTAGTAAAGAACATTCATTTTTGGTAAAACCCAAGGCTGCGCAGCTATGAGAATGCCCCAGAGGACCGGGTTAGGCTCATGTTTGTTATTCCTAACGCATCATTGTGATGGTGATTTGCAGTTTATGTGTTTTTTACGTGGGAGATATGCGCTTATTAGTTTAGTTTTGCCGTTACTGAAACCTGTCTTTCGAGCAATTACTTGTATGAGCATGCCAAAGCCTACACGGTCGCGCATAAAACATTGTGTGACAGGCCACCCGGCTCTGCTGTCCAATCACCAGCTGCCGACCACGGAAACCCTTGGGCTACATCCGGTGACTGCGCGAATCAATGGGGAATCTCACTAATACCATCTGTAAGACCGCGACGGTGGAAATCAGAGTACTTTGGACCGACGAAGCGATCCCTGTTCATGATCCAAAATACGTGACAAAATTGATCGAGAGGGATTGATATCATTCCAACAGAGCCATCAGCAAAAAATCAAAGAAGGAAAAAGAGTGACACAGCAACGCCGCCACCGCGAAATTCAACAAACTTCTTGATGTCGCGAAATGCCAGTGCAAGTCTCTGTGCAGCTTTCCATGCCCAGTTGCCTGCACAGTGTATCAGGAGCAGGTTGCCACGAAGGGCCAGTACAGGCACCAGAAGCTTACCCTGGGGTCATATGACTGGGATACGATCGTGACTAGGGAGACTCGTGAGGTGCGGAGGGTGGCCAGACAACTCCTGGGGCGTCGTGGCTCGGCCGCTAGTGAGGCGGTCTCTGCTGCTGAGCCTGAGTCGTCTTTCCCGCCGACTGCTGAGCCCGCGCCATCTGCTGAGCCAGCGCTGGCTGCTAATGCTGACCCCGAGCCTGTTCCGGGACCAAGTGGTCTAGCGCTGGCGAGTCAGCTGAGAGCACGGATTCATGTATTCGTTCGCGGTTCCGAACATGGTGGAAGATGGCGACGACGCCGATTGTTCGTTCCGGTTGAGACCACTACCACTATAGATTATAGCGTTAACGATCTGACTAACACCGCTCTGGCGGTTGAAAGCTTGGGCGGCTCCAAACGGGTCGATGCTGCTATCATCGCCTTTCAGCAAGACAGCAAAGATAGACTGACTACTTGAAATAAAACATCGTAGATCCTAAGAAGATCTGCTGGGCAAGAGATGAGGACGGCTCGTCAAAATGCTGGAGCAATGCACGAGTCAGGTTTGAGATTTCTGCCGCGCTCTGCACTTGTTCAACGAGCTACACGCCGTAAGCCCGCGGTGCGACGGCGACATCAATGTGTTCGACTGCGATGGCACGGCCGTCAACACCGAAACGATAGGCGACGTGTTCTGGTTGTTCGAGCTGGCCACCGAGCCACGCGTACACTGGTTTATCTGCCAGCTACTTGGCAATGAGCTGACCCCCCCCCCCCCCCATCTGGTGCTAAGTTTGGACGGCACGACCCGGGATCGAAATTTTTCTGGACCCATCGGCAAGACCTGTGCCGGGGAGGTCTGGGAGAGGGACGTTGTGACATTCAAGCCTAGGTCGGGGCACGTGCCAAACTTGCCGGTCGACCTGATTCAACAGCTGAGCACCAACCAGCAGCTGCTGCACCTTCTGGCCTCCGGCGTTTAAAACGGCTTTGTCCGAAACGTGGCAGCCCAGCGGCGAATCGGACCATCGAACCACGTCAGGTAAATATGAAAACGCATTACCTTCGAATTTATAGCAATGATTGTTTAAAGTCCATCAAGTATCAATTGATATTTCAGGTGTTCGCTGTTAAGATGCACTTATTTTCCTACCTTGTGCCGTGGTATGTCGCATCGTTTGCTGGTTGGTTCATGCTTACTAGCATATTTGTTTATATGTATTCCGTCACATTTGAGGACTCTGGATGTCGGCATAATTACATACACTAAGGGGGCGCAATAATTTTTGTATGACCTAATGCTCAGTTCGTAGCGCACTGTTCTAAATATCCGCTTTTGTTTTCAGATAGTTCGCACTGGCCACTGGTCTGCTCCTTGTTCACAACTTTACCGAGACTTCCAGCAGCGCTCTCAAGAACCTCGTCCAGTGCGTGGTCGACCACTATGTGTCCGTATGGTCCGCCATCCGCCAAAACAGCGGCTGCGACTTTGGCTTACGCAACTTGTTCCGGAGCATCGCGCTGCTCCGTGACCTGACGCGGCACACATAGGGCACGGTGCAGCCACTCCTCCTGCTAACGTGCACTGGGTCCGTCCGGAACAGCTGCTGCTGGACATGCTTCGTTATGAGAACCGTATGGTGCGAGGACAGGCGGTTCCGATCGTCGCTCCGCTCGTGAGCAGTAAACGGAGGGTCTTCTTCAGCCCAGGGTCTTCGTCATCTCAGCGGTAAACTTCGAGGCTGTGAGGTACACCAAACCGATTCCCTGGCACGGACCAGTCACACAGCCCCCACTGCGAAACCTCAGCGACTGCTAGCTGAGAACAAAGTGCAGACACCGCTGGCCATATTGCCCTATTTGGTTTACACTAGGAGTGCGACGCAGTGCCGCACTGCCGAGGAACGTCTGGGGCTGGAGCTCGAGCTTCGGCAATATGTGGACCCCAGCTGCAAAGGTATTTCTAGTACCGTGCGATCTCTGCCAACACGCTTTTTGGGTTTCCAGTCTGTGAGCAGTTGCTGTTTGGGCTGGTGCATCGGCTACACAGGCTCAGCTAGGAGCAGGATGTGCATGGGTCACCCTGCCGCCCCCCTACAGGCTGCAAAACTTGCTGTATGTATTAAGTTGTACACCAGACAATGTATTCTGAGTCATATCCTATACGTAGTTTTGTTTGCAACACGTGAGTTGTCTTAGAGAAGTGAAAGTCTAAAGCAAGACTAACCAGCATATTCGTACAACGAGTTCATACTCAACAGCACATAAAGTTTCCGCCAAAAGGCAATCAATCGGGCAATGTCTGATCTGTATATTATACTTAAGACCGGGACATTCTCGTACGACGGCTTTATGTGCGCTCAGTAGCATCGTTTCTATACGCAAAGGTATTTTGTGTCGCTGGCCGCCAACGGCTTGGTGTTACCTGCGGCGGCGAAGGCCGCCCAGCATCGGGTGACTGCAACGCCGGTCTTTGGTTGAAGGCGATGTTTCGATCGACTCGCGCCTCACGAATGTAAGTTTTTGGGAAGAACCTTTGCCATGTCGTTTACTTGTGGGCTCAAGCCCCAATGAATTTCTTTGTCTCACTTGGTTTTGTTGCTGATGACAAACTCTAATGTAGAGGGCCTGTGAACATGTCGCGAGTGCGTCGGCAGGTTAACTGAGACCGATGTGAAGGGCCTCTGAGCAACCGACATTACCCCGGTAGGTAAGCAAATGAGCCCCCCGGCTATAACGTATTAGTTCTTCCGGACGAATCGGAAGAATTCGTGGGGGGGGGGGGGGGCCTGATCGACAAGAGTGTCCCGGCATGCTTGCAGGTAGGGCCCGAGAAACAGAATAGGGCCCTCCGAGCAAATGCAAAGAAATCAATGGCGGTGTGGAAGGCTCCCAAGCAAACGGATTATCCCCGCAAGTGAACATATAAGGTGCTGGCAGTGGCGTAGGACCTCTGGACAACTTAACGGGCCCTAGAATCTCTCCAATCATAAAATTCCTAGCAAAAAAATTGTGCCCGAACGATGAGCGTGATGAGATGCGGATGATGATGAGTGAGTGGCAGATTGACGGATGGGTCCCCTATAGCGATTTTTTATTGTCTGTTGATGGGTGATTCACTTTCGTTTGTAACTGTTCTTGGTCGACTGTAGACCCCCAGGGGTCCAATGTTGTTGCGTTTTTGTGTAAAAATTGGCTTTGTTCGGCCGGCCATGGACCACATCAAAGCCCACTATCGGCCCCTTTGGGAACCAAGGGGGGCCAGGGCCCCATGACCCCCCTCTTGACCCACCACTACTCAGTGGGATATTACTGGGGTGGTTGTGTGTGTGGGGGGGGGGGAAAGGAGGGAGGCTCTAGTCAGACTTGGAAGGGCTCAGCCGTCCCCCCCCCCCCCCCTCAAAGAATATAAAGTAACTGCGCCAATTGCCGACCAGTAGTGTTCCCACAATGACATCGTGTGCACATGGTTGCGCCCGCCGCGCAATAAGTGGGCATTGTTTTTCATCGCACTCTGTCACTTTGCAAAACGCCGGTGCGGCCGTCCCGCCTGCATTAACTGGGACATTCTCGGCGGGTCGACCGAGTTAAATTGAGGTCAGAATCGCACAAATGTTTTGTACTTGCACCTGATGCCCCTATACCATATGTATCGAATGCACACAGTTGCGTTCCTCGCCCTTGCCTATCGGTATTTTTTCCCAGCCCGCCGTATTCTGGCCACCGCGCTACGCACGGGTCAGCTGTGGTCAGCAGCCCGACGCCACGGGCTGATTTGAAAAAAAAGGTCATGCCGGCCGATGAGCGATTTGCATTGCCGGCCAATAAGTGCTTCCATGATAATATTTATTTTAACTTTTCCTTACGGCCGCCGTATGCCGACCATCATTGCCCCAGGTTGCCCCTAATCGGTGCAAGAGGTCCTTTGGCCGATATTTAAGAACCCTGCCTGTTGGGCCCGTGTCATGAAACCTCCCACGTAAAGTTCTTCGGCCCTTTCATGCCCTTGATCATCGGTGCCGGGAGCCCCGAGGCCTAAGAAGCGGAACATTCCTTCCGCCCTTCTCTTCTCTTCTTGCCTGCCTTCGTCTCTTAGACAGTCGCTGCAAGGCTCTGTAAGACTGTAAATGATTTGAAGCAGTTCTACGGGTTGTCACCCGCCTTAGTGTTCTTGCCTTGTGCTCTCTTCAGATCACCAACAAAAATGAACAGCTGATCATGTTTGTCACTAGAGCGCCGTGTTTGTACGTATGACTTGGCGCCTTAGTTGAAGTAAGTGCCATGACTTCCACCTAACTGAAAAATACGTGATTTTTACCCGGCTATTGTTGGATCAGTTATCTCGCAGGTTTCATAACTTTAATGGTAGGTGCCTCCTCTGTTGAGCACTGTTTGAAATTAGCATTTTGTAATATTCTGTTTGATTGTTGTGTATAAAAGGACGTTGGGTGGAAACACTAAAGTAAAGTGGGCATCCATAATCTAGATTTGTACAAATCAGCTTAATGGCAAGTGGTAGGTAAAACTGGCAAGCAGGTGTCTATCCTTATTGGATGATCATGGAAGCCAAAAGATTATGTGCAGCTGTGGATAACAAAATGTCAGTGTGAAATCCACAACTCTTGCCCAAAATCTGACTATTAAATAGAAGGCAGCCTGTTCAGATGGTGCTATGCAGTGTTTAGGACTTCTTTACTTTGGTACTTGTATGGCCGACAGAGGGAAGAGCTATGCTGGCAAACATCCAATTGTCTTACACATGGGCTTATTGTTTCTGGAATCCATTGGCACCAATTTTTGCAACCATCACCATCAAGCTCAGACTGAGATCACCCCTTGTGCCCAATGCTCAATGTCATTGGTTTTTTAAATACATTGTTTTTTTGTAATGATAATTGCCCTTTAACCTGGTATTTTTTCTCCAACTGATGATGAGGATTTCTGTATCCAAATAATGATTGCCAACAAGCTACCAATAGCTCTCTACTTCCATCAGGTTGTCTGCAAAGTTAATGCATGTTAAAGGGATTGAGCCTACAGTTCACCCTAAAACCTAAATTTGTATCATCAGAATTTGACCTAGTAAACACCATTAGTTTTTTGAGGATGCATAAAACATTCTCATTCCAAAGGAGAAATACCCCCTATGGCTTCTTTTTAAGTCTTGGATCCATAAAGCTTGGCTTAATTGCAAATAACTCCAAAAGTGTTAGGTATCAATAATTTAATATTGTTTAATGAATGAGAAGTCTGATGAAATGCGAAGTAGTGAATTTGAAAAATGTTTTCTGGTAAAAAGTTATTATTTGTTTACCACAGAGGCTTCTTCTTTTCATTTTCTCAAAAGTCTTTTCAGCATCAAGGTAAAAAATCAGCACTATAATGCATTCTGCATGCATACACTTTGCATGTCTACATTTCACTGTCTGCATCTATCATGCATGCTTCTTGGCTGGTGTTGTATGCTTTGACCCCCAAAAGCTGTTAACAAATGTTTGTAATGTGACATCAGAAAATCCATGCACAATGCATGTTTTACAATATACCTTCATGTGGAATCAATTTCATAAGCAGTGCTTCAGAGGCTATGCAGAGCTTCCATTTCAGGATGAGCTCCTTGCCCTCAGACGCCTTGTTCACTGCCGATGCAGCAGCCCCAAAAGCCCAAGCAGCTCACCTTGTTCCAAGCTGGCTTCAAGAAGGATGACGCCGGGCCTGCACCGCCGGCGGCGTCCGGCTGCCGGGGGCTCCAGGCCGTGCCCGCCCGGACGGCCCCTGCACCGTCGAAGACGTCCTCCGATGACGTCATCCTCATCGACGACGACGAGGATGACCTGCTGCTGGCGCAGGCGCTGGATGAGACCATGAGGTATGCCAGCCTGGTCTCTAACTGGGTGGGGTTGACGGTGCAGCCAATGCGGCGAAAGTCCGGCCGCATCGCACGCGCCCTCTTGTTGCTGCGTCATCATCCTCCATTGCTATTGATTCATCTTTTGCGGGCTTTTTTCTCTGTAGATGAAAGCTGTATTGATTTCTGCATGCATCGCGCACGTCTCCAGCCCAGGAAGCGCATGTTGACCATTGGGTCCTCTGTTAGCGCCGGTGCTGCTGCGCCGCTGCGTCCCCGTCTGGCGCTGACGCCTCCATCACGGCCACACGTGACCCGTTGTTAAGCGCCCTCTGCGCCGTCGGCAGCGAGTGTCAGGCGGGGCCGTCGGCCGGCACCGCCCTGGAGACACTGCCCGGCTTCGACGCGGCCTCCGGCACGACCTGGACCTACCCGATCGACTACCCGGTGCGCCAGTATCAGTACAGCATGGTGCGCACGGCGCTGTTCGAGAACACACTCGTGGCGCTGCCGACAGGTGGGTGGCGAGGCCGGTCTCGCCCCGTTCAGAGAGTCTTCCCAAGTGTGTTTTGAAAGGTTAACTGCGTGCATGGAACTGGCCTGGGCTGCAGTGGCTGGGCGCCGTGTTAGCGGGCTGGACCCCATGGAGCTTGCGTAGGCTGCAGTGGCTGGGTCCCGGGTGAGCGGGCTGGACCCCATGGAGCTTGCGTAGGCTGCAGTGGCTGGGCGCCGTGTTAGCGGGCTGGACCCCATGGAGCTTGCCTAGGCTGCAGTGGCTGGGCCCCGGGTGAGCGGGCTGCTGGGACCGTATTACAGATTTTGACCGTTCCACCATACGGTTGGCGGACCAGCCGGCTCTGCGTGTCCGACGCGTGGGCCTGCTCCGACCGGGTCGGGTAAGATCGCTATGTGCGGCTCCTTCACCCGATCCGTCCTGCTGGAACGGTCGGACGGCGGACGGTCCGCGCTGCTCCAGGGCTGGGCAAGACGTTCATCGCGGCCGTGCTGATGTACAACTTCTACCGCTGGTACCCGCTGGGCAAGGTGGTGTTCATGGCGCCCACCAAGCCGCTGGTGGCCCAGCAGATCGAGGCCTGCTACCGCATCATGGGCATCCCTCGGGACGACACGGCTGAGGTTACAGGTGAGGCGGCGGCGGGTCGTGGCGCACTGCCGCGGGCTATGGCTAGCAGGTGCTCCGCCAAACCAAGATGGCAGGCCGATTTTGATGTTCGATACGCCCTGATGTTGAATAACCACATAAGAGGCTGTATTGTAGTAACATTACTAATTTTCGAAGCAGCTAAGTCTCTCCTCTCGAATTCCTAGTGGGTGCTTGATGTCACGCCGTGTGGGTGGCGCCTCTGGTTGTCTGAAATCTGGGCGGACCGTCCCGATCGTAAATCGTGTCGTCCGGTCCTGACCCGGCTCCCGTCGATGTGTGACCCCGACCGTCCCCTCCCGCCAGGCTCTCTGGCACCGACCGACCATCGGTGTGTGACCCCGACCGTCCCCTCCCGCCAGGCTCTCTGGCACCGGCCGACCATCGGTGTGTGACCCTGACCGTCCCTTCCCGCCAGGCTCTTTGGCACCGGCCGGCCGGCCGTCGGTGTGTTACCCCGACTATCCCATCCCGCCAGGCTCTATGGCGCCGGCCGACCATCGGTGTGTGACCCCGACCGTCTCCTCCCGCCAGGCTCTATGGCGCCGGCCGACCATCGGTGTGTGACCCCGGCCGTCCCCTCCCGCCAGGCTCTCTGGCACCGACCGACCATCGGTGTGTGACCCCGACCGTCCCCTCCCGCCAGGCTCTTTGGCACCGGCCGACCATCGGTGTGTGACCCCGACCGTCCCCTCCCGCCAGGCTCTATGGCGCCGGCCGACCATCGGTGTCTGAGCCCGACCGTCTCCTCCCGCCAGGCTCTATGGCACTGACTGGCCGGCCGTCGGTATGTGACCCTGACCGTCCTCTCCCGCCAGGTTCTATGACGCCGGCCGACCGTCGGCATGTGACCCTGACCTTTGCCTTCCGCCAGGCTCTATGGCGCCGGCCGACCGTCGGCGCGTGTGGTGCGACCGGCGCGTCTTCTTCCTCACGCCGCAGGTGCTCAACAACGACCTGACCACGGGCGCCTGCCCGGCCAGCCTGCTGCGCTGCGTCGTTGTCGACGAGGCGCACAAGGTCCGTGTCGGCGGCCGCGGCACCGGAGTAGGCTAGAGGTGCCGATTGGATTCCGTGTTTTTGGAATCCCAAAAACCTTAAAGTGGATTTTGAAATTGGGCGGACAGGGGTGCGAGCCTTTGTAATGTTTGAGACAACCGATGTCATTCTGTTTTGTCGCAAGTTGGTATCCACCTTATCTTATTTAATGCTGCATGTTCTGGAAAAAGTTTCTGGAACATAAATAACTCATTGGTAGGGCACACCGGCATATTCTTGTTTTTGAAACATGAGATAACAACTCATCGTGCGCACTGTCACGCATTCTTTAGGCCATGAAACTTCTAAAATTGTCTTCACGAAGGCCCGTGGTACACGCTAGCAGTCATTTTGTTTTGTTTTTCATTCTATTCGAGTGAGGGAATGCAGTGACGTGAGTAGTGACTGCGTTACTTGTTGCAGGTAATAGTTATTTGATATAAGAACAAAATTGGAAGCTCTTGGAAACCTGATTTTTTGGACACTTGGGACGGACAGCTGGTCCATTTGTAGACATTGGATTGGACTTAGATACGAACTTCTAGAAGACGGCACCTCTGCTCAGTACTGCCATCAATCAGCTTTTGCGCTATAAAACTTTATCTTCTTGGCTCTTGCCAAACAATTATCCCAACAAGGCAAGCAAGAGAATTTATTCTCATAGCAAGAAAACAAGAGCTCAGGCAATTCCAACGAAAAACTCAGATATGACCCATTGTGCTTTAGAAATCAACTCATAAACGTGGTAAGATGTAAATATGTATGTGACTGGACAATGGCAATTGGTGTCGTTGGCCTGTAATGATTAAGTTCGTATTCCAACATCAAGGTGATTTCAAAATTGACCGAAAACCCCAAAAATATGTTCGCCAAACCTGATGTGCTGTTGTGTTCTTTACACTTGACAAGCCTGCTCTTACATGAGTTCGTTTGGTTGTTTGGATTTGAGCCCTCTCGACCAGAAATGATCATTTCACGGCTAAAGGATGAAGGAAATTGTTTAACAGTGAGGCGGACTTGCATGCGCCTGGGGTGGGGGGTGGGGGGCAAACGCCGAGCTTTAACCCGCGCATGCGCGCTGAGTACCCGGTCGGTTCCCCTTTCCTGCGGGGCTCTCGGCTCAATTGGGGCTGACGTATGCAGCCTACCCCAGTCAAGCGGGGTGTCGCGAGGATGCGGGGTGAGACAAGACAGGATATAAGGGACGGATGTACATGAGTTCCAAAGTGAATATTTTGTATTGCGTGGGTGGCCTGCCACCTGGAGTGGTTTCAAAACTTGTGCGTGCTTGTCCACATTTGTTGGTTACATTCAAGTGTCCCGTTATCGAACAAAGACAAGATGACGTTAAGTGAACTGTATTGCCTCGTTCCAGGCTCTGGGAAATCATGCCTACTGCCAAGTCATAAAGGAGCTGTGCCGACATTCCACCCAGTTCCGTGTGCTTGCACTCAGCGCCACCCCGGGGAGCGACCTGAAAGCTGTGAAGCAGGTAATCGCCACCAGAGGAGCTAGTGGGGCCTAGACAGGATCGCCCGGGCCCATATTCTGCACCTACCGATGACATATGTATCTGACTGATGCATTACAAATTTGAACTATGGGATGCAATTAAATCTGAATTTAGTTTTTAAAGGTTGGATGTCAATTAGGAATGTTCAGCGCGAATTACAGACTAGAATGACATTTAAGGCTGGAGCCATCACTTAATTTGCGCTGGCTTCATGTAACATGATATAAGCTTATGGGAACAAGCGGGTGACATCTCTGCCAGAAAGGGATTTGGTTTCGAACGCAGATAAGCCAGCTCTACCGAGAAGGCCGCCGGCTGACTCTCCACACGGCTGCAGGTGCTCTCGAACCTGCTGATCTCCAAGGTGGAGGCCCGTTCGGAGGAGTCGGACGACGTCAAGCCGTACACGCACCAGCGCCAGCTGGAGAAGGTGGTGGTGCCGCTGGGGGACGACCTGCGTCGCGTCCGAGACAAATACATGGAGGTGGGCACGGCCATGGCGCGGCCAGCTGGCCGCCGCGCGCCACGCGCCGCCAGCCGGCTCAGAACGGGTCTGGGTGGCGCCCAGACGGCTGACATGACGTCACATATCACACGTCGAGCCGGCCACAGCTGCGCGTTGGATAGCTCCTTTTTGGGATTATGAAAGGGTGACATTTCTTGACGCATTGATGGCAGCTTAAGGTTCTGCAAAATTTAGCTGGAAGTGTCGGTGTTACGCGAAACTTAGATGTATCTCCAGTGCGGTAGACAACAAGACTGATCAGGCTGATGTCCGCCTGTTTGGGTTGTGGGTGCGAAATCAAAGATATTTGCCTCATTCACGCAACGCTGAGGAGCAAAAGAGGCTCCTAGCACGCTTCAACGAGAAAGGAAATATTGCTTCCGAAGTGACTTAATTGTACACCGATATAGTTCAGTGTGATGTGTTGGTAAAATGGCACAGGGGCCGTGTCCACCGTTGGGAGTGATAAACAGAGGTACGCGGACTGTCACTGAGTTCTGCGATACTCCGTGCTGTGGTTTAATTTATGGGCACCAGACGGAGAAGTAGGAGTGGGATGAGGGGGGGGGGGGGGGGGGAGTGGGGGAGCTGCGAGAACCGATTGGTGAGGACATGGGTCGGCGGCACGTGATCGGCCGTACGCGGCCAGATGTCCTGCTAGTGGATTACCCCGGGCAGGGGGCTCACTCTGGCGCTTTAGTGACACGAAAATTATGGGTCTGTAGTGACGTCCCTGCGGTCTGACAGCGAAGCAGAAAATGTAGACTCACTCAAGACTCAGTCAAGTGCTGAAGGCCATTACCAACGAACGAGGAGTGCTAGCCGTGAACTTCTAAAAATTGTGGAGAACGGTGTATTGTTTTGAGGGAGCCTTGATAAGCGTGGTTCTGATTTCAAATGTAATTTGGGACTATGTTGTCTACGCTACTGTAGATTCTACGTGCTAGATAGCATATGCGACGGCGTGCACCTCTTTCTGGTTATTGCAGCGCAGGTCTTTGCTTTGACGCTGAACAAGCCGTGGCTGCTCACTTTTGACGACCTGTTAAAGGGAGAATACTACCCATTTTGCACTTTCACTTAGTTTTAGATCAGACGCGTCCGATTTGTTGGGTGATTCCAGTTGTCTCAAAATCACTCTGGAAAGCTCAGAATTTCTGCTTGAAGTGCCGCTGCTGCGGGTAAATGTCACGGGACTCACTGCAATCACCACTATGAAAACAATGCGTTTAATTTGCCCGCTCTTTCCAAGGTATACGTCCCGTAATATTTGCAACACACCAGATCTGTCAAAATGCTTGTGTAATGAATACTACGAAGGTTGGAACACTTTTTGGGAAAAGTTTATTCAAACATGGGACTATTATCCCGCGTATTCAACGAAACGCTACACTTTGGCTCAGATTTCTACCCTGTGACGTTTACCGCATCGTCTCTTTTCGACTCGCCCTTTGGTTTCGGGAAACGGAGCATCACATGGTCTGAAGTGACACACTGGTCCAAACTTAAACCATTGCGCTCCTCGGTAACAGGGTCTCGTCACCCACTGTGCCAGTCACAAACGTTCCTTCATATTAACGTCATGCATGCCAGTAGAGGCGCCACTTTTAGCCCACAGGTCCGCAGCGTGTGGGTTAAAAAAGCTCAAAAGTAGTACCTCTAACCCGTGACAGCTCACAACAGCACTCATCAGATTCTGCCGTCGTCATGACAACGACGGTCACGACAGCTGCAGCTATCGTAGACTCGGAATACGCGTTGGGACCGCCAAGAAGGGAAGAAAGGTAGTGTTGTTACGAAGCGTGAATAACATAATTTGGAATGGAAAATAAAAAAGTTTGCGTCATTATTATATCTCAATGGTGCCGCAGTGGCATTAGCTAGTGCTATTATCAGACGTAAATTGTCCTAGGATTTCACCAGAGTATGCTTTTAAAGTACGTCCCGAAGGTGATGCACCCCTTTAGAAACGCTTCTGGCTGAATTCCGCCGCTAGATATCAATGCAGCAACGCCTTTAAAAAAAAGTGATTTCATTCCAGCCCGCATTTATGCCATTTAAGTCCTTTTATGTGAATTAATTTGATCCCCGTTCTGGGAGTGGCCGCCCGAGCTTGTATCTGACTGCTCCGAGTACGCCTGGGCACAACGTGAACGCCGACGCCGGCGCGCCCCAAAACTCCGATCATCATCATCATCATCATCATCCGAGGACATCGGCTATGGCGGAAGCAGGCAGCGCAGCTGTGGCTGATCTGCCCGACTCTGCAGGCTCCGACGGGCTTTCTGAGCGCTTGTGCATGTATTGTATGGGGTTGTTATACAATCGTGTGTCAAATGAAGAATTATACGCATTTGTTTATGGGCTTGACGATCGTGTCGCATTTGGGGGATGGTGAGCATCAAAAAGTATCTCGGTGTAATCGTAGCTAATCGGCTGCTTTGATGGCTTTTGTTGCAGGTAGTTCGGACATTCTTGTGCAGACTGATTCAGCTGAAGTTGATCTACACCAGGGATGATACGACGTTGACCAAGTATCAGCTTCTGAGAGCTCGCGATGCCTTCAAGTAAGCTATTTCGGGCGATTGCCTTCGATCTGCGATGCCGGGCGCCAGCTCGCCATCTCTTCTGTCTCATAAAATTTGCTGCCCCTTTGTCTTCTGAAGCGTGGTGAAGATAAGTAACATCTTTGCCAAGTAGCTATGGTTTCCTTAGGTATGCAGGTGACGAGCGAGGGACGATCACGTCTGTAAGTGACTTGTTAAGTGCAAACGTGGGATGTAATGCTTAGGACGATGTCGGTAAAGCAGTTAGTTTTTAAACTACCATGTTCTTTAATTTTAGCTATCTTGGCCGTTTTCGACTCGGGCTTTGTTAGAGAGATGTGTGCTCAACTTCACCAGTCGCACGTTCGTTTGGTTGCGGGCAGCCTCGACCCGCGGTAATGGGTACGTATCGGCCAGCATGTTTGGGAGCTTTATATATTGCTTTACCCCATTTTTAGTGCCCTGTCCTCTTCTGCACTCGGTTTGGTCAGATGCCCTGGGTACTGAAGAGAGTTAACGCGTCATCTGAGGTAATGCGCCAGACATTGGTGAAAACCCCCTGATTTATGCGCAACATGTTTGAACTAGGATCCATACATTGGAAGCTCCCGGAGCGCTGGCTTCTGTGTTTCGGTCCTCTGTCAGCGATTGATGTGGGAGGTCGCAGCTGGCGCGGTCCTGACGGGTTCGTCTTAAGACACTCGTGACGGCAGCATGAGGCGGTCCTGACGGGTTCGTCTTAAGACACTCGCGTGACGGCAGCATGAGGCGGTCCTGACGGGTTCGTCTTAAGACACTCGCGTGACGGCAGCATGAGGCGGTCCTGACGGGTTCGTCTTAAGACACTCGCGTGACGGCAGCATGAGGTCCCCTCGGGATTGACCGCTCGGCTCAGCACGCCGGCCCCCAGCGCGATAGCTGTCTTGCTGCACTCAGGGGCATCACCTTGTGTACTTTCGGGTGTACTTTCTGGGGTTTGGGGGTCGGGGGCCCCTCCCCCAATGCTGACGTAATCTAGTAATCCATCCAACGTATTGTAAGCCACCTGAATGCGTACGAGCAGAGGGAATACTGGGCCAAATATACATAAAGGAATATGCTAATTATTGGTACACTAGGTACCTAGACGCCTTAGTATTAGCATGATTGCCATTTTGTACCAAGTACTATCCTGCAAGTTCGCAGTGTTTTTGTCCAGAGAACGTCGTGTTATGTTAGGCCAGTCTGCGAGTGCTTGGCAGGCATTTCACAGGATAAAAGCTGTGTCGGGATAAACAACAACGGACTGCAGTATGCGGCAGCGTTTTTAAAGCACAGAGTGGCCCAGACACAAGCTAACCCATGTATCCCTCGACTGTGAGAAGTGTCTTCATCACATAGTCGCGACTGCGGTAGTACTTGACCGCTAACTGAATGGCAAAACACCATCAGCGACAGCGGTAGTGATCAGTGATTCCACGCCCGTCACATCGTCGACGGGCCAATGTAGCGTACAGCTGTGCAGTGTGTCACTCACCCAGTCGTACCACAGCAAGGGCGTTTAGCAATAGAATCAACACGCGTTGTGCGGTGTGTTGCAGAATGAAAGACCTTGAGATGCTATTGATCAACTTTTGCGGTAAATGTGACCGTAAGGACAGCTTTCAAACCATATGACCATTGTAGTCGACGTACTCTTACGCCCAAATCATCATCACGTTATCATCGAAAGGTCGGTTTTCCCCCAAAACAAGTTTTCAAAAATATTTAACCACTGCCTCCTGGTATCCGGACCGGCGATTACTATCGACGTGAGAGCTCCCAGGTTATCAGCACGAAACGTCGAGGTTCAAGACCCGTCTTCTTCATATCAACTTTAAACGCGCGTCAAAGCGCTGACCACGCCATTTTTAAGACGGTCACTTTGGAAACTCATTTAGTGATTAGTCTTTGCCTACTCTGTCCCTCTAATTATCGATATGTCTGCAGAGAAGGTCGCCTGAGGTCAGTTTTTCTTATGTATATAGGTATATGGCGGCAGTGTACCTAACAATTTGCGTAGGGTTTCTTCCGTACTTGTCAGGCCGCGCCATCCTCCATGAAGCCGTTGTTTGGTGACTCGGACCACCTTCGATAAACGAGGATTGATGCCTATTGTCTTTGATCACAAGTGCTCGAATGTTTAAGATGCTTTTCGGTGAATTAAACCCCGTTTCAAGTTTTTCACAAGAATGCAGCTTCACACCGCCTGAAAATGGGAACTCGTTCCGCCGCAGCAACACAATTTTGAAATATGGTTTCTAGAACAAACATTATTTTAACCGGGGAGGCGAATTAAAGGGGCCGAATTCCGGGGAGAAATCAGGCTTTCGGACATGTGACCTGGCTCATCGTGGTCAACCTTATCGGCTCAACTCACCAACCGATTTTAGAAAGTGACACCCCCGGCTGTACCCATATTAAATTTCTATTTCTTCACCAGCTGACAAACTGCCTGCACTCGTGAGGCATACCTTGTAACTGTCTGTCAATTTGCTGACCAATGCCCTGCCCTGCCCTGCCCTGCCCTTCCGTGCCCTTCCGTGCCCTGCCCTGCTCTGCCCTGCCCTGCCCTGCCCTGCCCTGCCCTGCCCTTCCGTGCCCTGCCCTGCCCTGCCCTGCCCTGCCGGGCCCCGACGGGAGGCCGTCGGATGACCCCGAGCCGCTCCCGGCAGGCAGTCGCGGCCGGCCGGGATGGCGGCGCGCCAGGCCGGCGTCGTGGAGGGCGACTTCGCCATCTGCATGTCGTTGTACCACGCGCTGGAGCTGCTGCAGCTGCACGGCCTGCGCAGCTTCTACAGCTTCCTGCAGGGTGAGTCAGCGACGGCCGACGACCACCCGGTGGCGGCGCACACCGACTTTTGCAGCTGGCTGACTGGTGTGATGCAGTCATCGCTGTGCTTATTTGACAGGGTCGACGCCCGTAACTGCTGCATCCAGCGCCTCGTTACGGTCCCAAGCCCTGCGCCAGCTTGCACAGGGAAAAACGAATGTAAAGGCATGCGAAATGTGCCCTTTATAGCATGTCTTTGTGTCTTTTAAACAGAGACTGCTCGGAATGACGTAGTGTCAGTCAGGTGGACTTTCGACTGAGAGCGTTTATATGCCTTACGCAGCCGTTGGTGACGATGTTGGGTTGGCAGCGGACGGCGCGCCGACCAGCGCTCTGTCTTCCTTCACGCCGTGGGCGGTGTGGTAGCTTGTCACACGCGCCGATGATCTTTGACCTAGTTTAATCTGATCTGTAGTCTGCGGACCTACCCGACCTAATCGGGACAGTGGACTGACCCGACCCAGCAAAAGTGTGACCCAATCTCCTGGCCTGACTTGACCCGTCTTGACCTGAGCCGATCCGATCTGTGGTTTTTGGGTTTACTTGGTAACCCTGACCTGCCCAGCTGAGCTGCCTTTTCTCCTGAACTTTTGCGAACCTGTGACCTGAATTGTTCACTGCCTGACACAATCTATAGCCTGCGAGCGTGAAAAGGTAATATGTTGTGTGAGCGTCCACGAGGCCTGTGGTCTGACCATGTGATATGGCATGACTTGACCTGACCTGGACCTGACCTGACTTGTGCTGTGCTGGTCCGGCAGGCCTCCTCACCGGCGAGAAGGGCTCTGGTCGCGCGCGCGCCCAGCTGACCGGTAATCCGACCTTCCGCGAGCTGATGGGCAGCCTGGCCGCCTCGTTCGAGCCGCATCCGACAGATGGCAGCACCGGTACCGACCAGGTCAGTGGTCGCTGGGCGAGAGCTGATGGCGGCGGAAGTGGGGGCGGGGGGGGGGGGGAGGGAGGGGCGTGGCACTCGCTGTCTCCGTGGGTTTGGGGTGGCGCGCGCTGGGGCTGTCGTGTGGGGACAGCACGCGAGACGGATGGCGCGGATCCTCACTTCGTCAGCCGGGCGGAGGGAGGGGGCAGCGTGATGGTGCTGCTGTTCGGACTTGCGTGAATGGGGGAATCCGCATAAGTGTTAATTTTCTTGATGCTCCGATAACATGGTCGGGGAGTTTGCATACGAGTTTCGGTTGGCAGCAAATTCGAAGCGCGTTTGTATGACGCTCTGCCATGGCTGATGGAGCAAACCTGGTCTTTATGAGGTAGGGCTTACTGGTGTCGTGGATCCGTCTCCCGCCGTGTATCGCCGTCAGCCAATACTAAGCTTATCACTGGGGCCCGGTTAGGGGATCCATGCCGATTGTCCATATGTCCGACTTCTTGGATGGGCCGCGACCTGATTGGCCGTACCGCTGGGGCTGGCGGTGGAGCTCCCCCCCCCCCCCCCCACCCCATGCGACCTGTGCCCTTTAGCGGCGCCAGCGCTACACCGGCGCCATCGGACATTGCCGCGCCTGCCGCCGGCGTCTGCCTGAATGGGCACAAAGCACGTCCGCCGCGTCGTTAGCGCATTCGTGCGCGCCCGCATAGGCCACACCCTCGCGCGCCATCCAGTCAGCGCGTACTCTGGTCTAACGTCAGAGAACATAGAACACGTACACGGTCGTTTAATAACGGCTATGCGATTACGTGCTCGGTCAAGCAGTAGCGGATACAAAACACGTTCGATGGCGATGAGCCTGACTTTTCGCTTCGGCCGGACCGGCGCGGATGCACGCGGTGTACAAAAACGGATCCTCGCGGCGTAGAAAACCATACGGTGCGGAGTGCGCGGGACGACTCTGGCAGCGGTGTCTCTTCGAGGTACTGATTCAGCGCTCTGTTGCGTTTCCGCGCTGCAGATCCAGCGCGCGTGCCACATTTTTGAAGCGCCTCTCGGAACAAGCGCTCACTGCCACAAGCAACTCTCGTATAGCCACGTCTAGCCAGTGCGCCACCTGTTGCGGTGACGTAGTGGTAACGCTCCGCCGATGCCGGTATAGCCACTATGCACCCTGTTGCGACTTGACTGTTCGGAATGCACACTGACGAACGGGACAAAGCGCAGGCTAGACACGACCGGCGGGCGGCTGACGGGTCGCGCGGGCGGCGGCCGAGCGACGCCCGCGCTCCGGCGGTCTACCTCCCCGCCCTACCACCCTCATCTGGCCGCAAAGCGCGCGTGCGTAGCAGCGCCGACGGGCCGGGCGCGCCGCCCGCCGCCGCCACCGCGCTGTGGCCAGCGCCCGGCTGGGCCGCCCCTCCGGTCTCATCCGCCGTCGGCCTACCGCGTGTGGCCACACGCCGTGCACTTGTCCTCGCGCATCATCCAGCAGCAGATGATGCCCAGCGGGAAGAAGCAGACGGCCAGGATGATGCCGCACGTGGTGAACTCCTTGCCGTAGTAGCCCGTCTGAAACGGCGGCGGCTGAGTCAGGCCGCGTAGCGCGTCGCTCGGACTGCGAAATCGTGAATAACAGGCGGGGGTCGCTCGGGCTCGTTTGTGAGTTCGCGGTGCGAAATGACGAACGGTGGACGGTGGTGGCAGTTCAGGCCCGTGATTCAGGATCCGCTGGGGGCTGCCGGTAAACCCAGCGACGCCCCCGCTGAAAGGCTGGTTCGTGCGACATCCAGGGGTGCGCGTCACGTGACGATCGTGCAGGCGCATTCCAAACCGTTTCAAGGTTGTCCGCGTTCGAGGTGAATGGCTGTGGTCACCACATGCCCAGGAGAATGCTGGAGCCGGGCGGACAGGGGTCTGACAGCGATCGCACGATGCTGAGCAGTGCGGACCAGATCAACAGGGTTTGTGGATGGCCATCTTGGGCACGTCTTCGCACGCAGGCGATCCGTACCGCGTTGTCGGCCATGCATGTGGTTGGTTTGTTGTAATTGGGGCTTAGCGACACAGCAGGCGAGGCTGTGAGGCGTCGCCTGCCTCTCAGCTTGGCAGAAAGGACCGTTTGGCTTCACGAACGGCCTAAAGGCGAATGATGAATGCGCCCCGGCACAGTTCTGTCTATCGCTTATACCTCCCGGACAACTTGGGACACTGTTGATTCGCGGCAGGCGGAGGCATGGAAGCACTGGCGTCTGTCGCGCGCAGGGCTGACCCGCCGCGCGCTGTCAGCGGCGCCCGCTCGGCGCCGGTCACCTGTCCCCGTCGGACGTCGGTCGGTCGGCCGCGCCGCCGCGGTGACATCTGCAGCGCTCGCCCGACCCCGCCAGCCGCGCTCGCCTCCCGGGCGTCGCCCGCCCGCCAGAGCCACATTCCGTGCCGGTCAAGGCATCTGCAGGCGGCGGCGGCGGCGGCGGGAGCTGTCTGAAGCTCGCCGCTGGTCGGTCTGGCGGCCGTCAGCCCGGCAGCCCCGCCGCGCCCGCCGGCTCACGGTTTATGTGCTGAGGTCACCATTGCCAGGGCCTAGCAATAGTTTTCGTTCATTCATGCATGATTGATGGATGGATTCATGCATCCATTTTGAATCGTTCTTTTAAACATGCCATTAAACGTGATAAATACAATTATGCTAGCTTCCGAGTTCGATGAAAGCAGGGCTTAACATACCACGTTGTTTGTTGGCTTGTTCATTTAAGACAGACATGGGAAGAAGCCGGCTTCCGCTTCGACCTCGGCTTCGGCTTGGGCTTCCCGAAGTGGCATTTTCATTCAATGCAATTGCTTCGGGGTTGGCTTCGACTCTCAACAATGCCACGGCTGACTTCGACGTTGGCTGTGTGGCATTTGCAACCATTGCATTCGGCTTCGGTTCTGCTATTTGTGGCTTCTGGCTTCGGCGTCGGCTTCGTCATCAAAACAGTTTTTGAAATATGCTCCTGGCTTTGGTTTGTGAGATCTTGAACAGCTCGCTTCGATTTACTTACAGCGATTTTTTCACTGCAGGTGCGGTTATACTTTCACGAAGTCCGAATGTTTGTCCGAATGTCGGGAGCTTTGCATAGACACTCACACAAGACGAGGACTTTGCGTACATACTCACACAAGACGAGGACCTTGCGTACACACTGACGCATAAGACGAGGACTTTGCGTACACACTCACACAAGACGAGGACTTTGCATGCACACTCACACAAGACGAGGACTTTGCGTACACACTGACACATAAGACGAGGGCGATAGTCCGAAAACAGTGTGCGTTTGTGATAGCAACAATCTGTCTTTGTGGCCCCTGAAAAGTCCGACAACGTTTTTGTGATCCCATACAGTTCTAGCAAGTGAAAAGGATTTTCGTTTCACAAAACAACCTTGTTTACTAGATTCAGCTTTTAGTTCGGCCTCGTGATTTTGCAATGATGGTGGGATGGACTTTTTCTTCGCGTTTCCCAAGTTTGAAGCCACTGACTGGCTTTGGCTTTGAGTGTACAAGGTCAGAAGCTCTCGGCTTCGAACTCAGCTTCTCGCTTTAAAAATGCAAAGCCGCTGGCTTCGGCTTGGGCTTGGGCTTCACAGTTCCTATCTGCGGAACGACCGGCTCCGGCTTTAACTTCGGGCTCACGTCACTGTCCGGAGTTCGCATTTGGCTTTGAAGCCAGAAATAAGCCCGACTTCGTGTCCCCTTGTCCGCTGAAAAATATACGCGATTCTTAGCATGTCATTTGTGATGTCTCATGCTCCACTCCGCGCGATAACAGGGTTCTTTTATAAAAGGATGGAATAATTGAGGCAATAGTCCTCGCCAGGGTGACAACGATGTTCACAGCTCTGTCGCCAGCACCATCGGTAACCCGAGGCGACAGTTTTCTCAGCTGGCCAGCTTCAAGTACCGTCAACATCCGTCGGTGGTGTTATCAACATCACTGACGGTGACAATTATTGGTCCTAAGAATGCTTTGGTAACAACTAACACCTCTAGGCATTCCGCAAAGCTGCATTGAAATCAGCTGCCACTCCCATCGAATATCCAGTGGTCCTGCCCCAACCTGACAGGCTGACTCGTGCCGTGCGGGGAGGGAGGGGTAGGGTGCAGGGAGGGGCTTCCCTTAGCTTTGCACTCTTGGAGCAGCTCCCTGCTGAAAACGTTGGGCTGGCCGGGCGCCGTTGGGATGACCGGCTACCCAAAACAAACAAGCGCTACGGCTTGGCCTGGCCAGGCGGCTGACACGCTGCCAACTAGCGGCCGCGGCGGCCGGTAGAGCGCCACTGGAAGGGAGGTTGCAACCGCCTGAGCGCGCTGGCAGCGGACGAAGTGAAACGAAGTCAAGAGCGTAACTGAAATAACCGGGGGGATGGATTTCGACGGGCGGGTAGCTTTAGCCTGCCGCGCTCGCGGCGTCCTGGCCGGACGCGAGAGACGTCCTGTATTACTACGGCAGCGGACGGCTGTGCGGCTCGGCGCGTCGCCTCCACCGACGGAGCCTGAAGGCCTGCGCACGTGACCGACTGTGGGCAGCGCGTCTGGTCTGCCGTCTGATCTGCCGTCCGGCCTGCCGCCCGGTCTGCCGTCTTGTCTGCCATATGTTCTGCCGTCTGGTCTGCCTTCTGATCTGCCGTCGGGTCTGCCGTTTGGTCTGCCGTCTGGTCTGCCGTCCGGTCTGCCATCTGGTCTGCCGTCCGGCCTGCCGTCTTGTCTGCCATTTGGTTGCCGTCTGGTCTGCCGTCTGGTCTGCCGTCTGGTCTACCGTCTGGTCTGCTATTTGGTCTGCCGTCTGGTCTACCGTCTGGTCTGCTATTTGGTCTGCCGTCTGGGCTGCTATTTGGTCTTGGTCTGCCGTCTGCCCTGCGGTGGCGGTGGCGTCTACTGGCGTCGGACGTCCGGTGCGGTCAGGGCTCCCCGGACGTGCCGACATCCGCAGCACGCTGCGCCCGCGGTCCAAAACAACCCGGCGAACGTTCTGAGGGGCCGGCGGCCCGGACATGATGTGCATGAGCTCGGCTTTGGCGGTGGAACTGCAGGACGTTATGGTATGGGCGTGCACAGTTGGCCGGTCGCCGTCCGACGGGAGCGAGGGCGTCGCGAGCATCGCAGACGATGCTCGCGATGGATGATGATGACGCGATGACGCACGCATCGCAGAGCAGAGATGGATGTGACACGGGCTGGTCTACAGGTGGGCGTGTGCCTTTCACCTTCCGAGCATGCGCATTACCACTCCCTAAGCCACTGGCCAGTTAACTGCTTCCGGCAACTTGGCATTTGACGCGGATGTTACAGTGACTCGGCGCCAGCGTAGCCTCGCCGGTCGCTGCTGGCCTTCGTCCTCGCCACCACGCCGGTTCGGGCGAGCGTCGCACCCTCTCCTCCCTGCTCTGTCCAGCGGCGGCGGCGGGCGTTCCGCTCTCTCCCCGCCCTCGTGCGCCGCCGCCGGCCTGTTGCCGGCCGCCGGCGGCCCTCGGATGGCCGTCGCTCGTGGCCGGCGGGCCGATGCCGGCGGCCAACGGTGCGGGCGCGCCGCCGGGCTTTGGCGTCCGCAGACAGCGCGCGTGGCCTTGGCCGGCCGAGCCGGGCCGGGCCGGGCGCAGGCAGAGCCGCCGCCGCCGCCGCCGCCGGGCTGGGATGGTATCGATTGGACTCGAGAGAATCTCAGACCCCGCCCCGCCTGGAAGCGTGGCGGCTCGATGGTGGCGGGGGAGGGGGGGGGGGGGGACGCGGAGGTGCGCGCGCGGGGGTGGGTTTCAGGGTGGGCTACACATGCGACAGGCTACAAATGACTGGTGGGGTTAAGGCAGGTCAAGATGGAAACGCAGCCTCTCCTCGTGTTGGAAACAGCCTCATGCGTGGAGCCTGGCCGCTGTCCAGTTCGTGCGAAAGACGAACCTCTACTTATTCGCTCATCGCATAGCACGAAGTTTCACTTTCACAGCCAGGCGAAGGGCAAGCTGGCGGTGCGTCACAACCTTGACCTTGAAGGGCTCTGTGAAGGAGAGGACAGACAAACAGGTGGTTGTTTTTGAGAAGCGGGAAGACAGCCACAACGTAACGTGCCAGCTCGTCCCTTGTCGCTCGATGGCAGTGGAGACCATCCCCGACGAAGGGAATAGCGGTGCTGAATGCGTCACTGAACACACGTCTCTGTGCTGACCGACTCACCGGGCAGTTTGAACACTTGTTTGCTCCCTCTGCGTCACTCATGTTCACGTCGCTTGGTGGCCTGGAAAATAAGCGCTCTTTTAACACCAATGCACATTCTTTCACCCATTGACTACTACCCCACAGTCTCACACACACACTCAAACACTCCCCGACTCGCAAAAACCGAAACCGGTTTCCGTGACGATTCGCTGATCCGAAATCCGGTTTTGCCGGGAATAGTGTCCGATGCTTATCGTTCGGTGCTTTCCTTCGAAGCCCGGCGCGCCGCTAGCGGCCCGCCGTCTTGCGCCGGTGATGTCGTGCGCCAGCGGCCCGCCGGGGCGTGTCCTGACGGGACCTGGCTCGGCCGCCGGCTCGCCGTCATGCCCCTTCGCCGGTCACGGCCGGTGACGTGTCGCCTGCTGTCGCGGCGTCCGGCCACCGGTGGCGCGAGCCACGCCAGCGTCCGGCCGCCGGTGGCGGGAGCCACACCAGCGTCCGGCCGCCGGTGACGGGAGCCGCGCCGGCGTCCGGCCGCCGGTGACGGGAGCCGCGCCAGCGTCCGGCCGCCGGTGGCGGGAGCCACACCAGCGTCCGACCGCCGGTGGCGGGAGCCGCGCCAGCGTCCGGCCGCTGGTGACGGGAGCCGCGCCGGCGTCCGGCCGCCGGTGGCGGGAGTCACACCGGCGTCCGGCCGCCGGTGGCGGGAGCCGCGCCATCGTCCGGCCGCTGGTGACGGGAGCCGCGCCAGTGTCCGGCCGCCGGTGGCGGGAGTCACACCGGCGTCCGGCCGCCGGTGGCGGGAGCCGCGCCAGCGTCCGGCCGCTGGTGACGGGAGCCGCGCCGGCGTCCGGCCGCCGGTGGCGGGAGTCACACCGGCGTCCGGCCGCCGGTGGCGGGAGCCGCGCCAGCGTCCGGCCGCTGGTGACGGGAGCCGCGCCAGTGTCCGGCCGCCGGTGGCGGGAGTCACACCGGCGTCCGGCCGCCGGTGGCGGGAGCCGCGCCGGCGTCCGGCCGCCGCTCGGTACACCTGCGCCAGCTGTGCCCGGCTGGCGCTGACCGTAGCCGGCTCGCGCCGCACCCAGTGCCGTCATCACAAGCGTGACGGGCTCCGCTGCGTGGTGCTGGGTAAAATACCGCCCGAGGCTCCTTCGTTCAAGGCTTTCAATCTCGCGAATATCAGGGCACAACCCATGAGTATTTTTTTTCTGCTGCTGTTTGTTGTTCTGGTCCCGGCTGGTTTGCGGAGACAAAGGGGATCTCGGTGCGATCGCTTACTTTGAGGAGATTGCGGACGTCAGTGAGGCGTATGTTTGTTCCTTTAAGACCCTGCGGTGGCGCGTGAGTATTGATGACGCTATTCGGGGCTTTTTGAAGAATGTTTGGTTCAGGTTCTCTTGGACAGTACGAAGTGCTTGGAGTAGCCCACCGATGGGAATGCTGGTGTCCAAGGCCATTGACCGTCGGACCCGTGCTTTGCGCCAGACGACATTTTCGTTCGCAAGGATGGCTAGAATGCGGACGGCTTTTGGACTGACGTGTTACTTCTGGGTGGCCTGAGCTGTCTTATAGGTGTGTTTAACTATAAAGGCTCTGATCAGTTGGCTATGCTTTGTTATTCAACGCCTTCGAGCTAGAGAGCGTATTGTAACCCGTAGGATCGACTGCTTATGACATTGTATTCGAAGTCTTGAGTTGGCATTGCTATTCAAGGTCGTGGCGCCGGACATTGCTTGCGTAGGAATGAGTTTATGGCATGAAAGCACATCGCCTATCGAAAGACGAGGCTATTTGGACGCTATATCTGTTGGCAAAACCCAGCTGCCCAACCGAATGAAACAGACCACCATATGTACAAACCCCATCCGTCTATTGAGCTGGGATCTGTAACATGTCGTGAAACGAAAGGAAATGTCCGTATTGGCACGCCTAACAACATTTTGAATTGATTGTTTTCAGTAATATAACTATCAGCTATCAGTGTGCCGATTTGACTACGGTGTGCGCTTTTGTACGTTTAGCTGTTATCTACGGTGGTCTTAGGATTTGTCACTGTCGATGTACATTTTTATTATTATTTGTATTATTTTTTATTCGTAGAAATATTCGTGAAGTGCTTGAACATTCATGTTCAACGTGGGGCCCAGCCTAAGACTTTTTGTTTCAGCTCAAAATAGAAGCCCTTTGCGTGGCATGCGTATGTCAAGATGTCTGCCGTCTCAGCACGGCCAGTTCTGCGGTCATCTGCCAGTTTCGGTGCCAACTGCACCGCCCAGCTCTGGGCTTCCTTTGTGCGTTACGCCAAAGGTTGTTCTAGAAGAGAATATGTCGGTTTCAATTCGAAAGCCGTCTAAGAATACGCACATTTTTTGCGAACACTTAGAAGCATATGCCTAGTATTGACATAACCTCACCCATTTTCGTGCTTATAATTGTTCTGTCCCGGCTGCTGCTTCACCACCGTAATGACACGGAGATAGTCACATCAATGCTGCATCGCCGCGCTACACCACCTGACAGCAGCGCGTCCGCCCCGTTTCTCCCCTCTGCCGAACGCGTCGCGCACGGCTGTTTGGGACGTTACCTGAGCGGTGGAAGAATGGCGGCAGGCACTGCACGGCGGCGTCGGCGACTGTGGGCCGGGGCTGCTACTGACGGCCAGAGGCGCCGCCCCTGCGCCAGGGCGCCGCCGACAGGCGCAACAGTGGAGATGCCGGATCGCTGGGCACGGGACCGGCGTCGGCCCGACACGGGACCGGAAAGAGACCGGCCGCCGGCGCGTGGCCCTGAGACGCCACCGATGATGAAAACCTTCCGGCCAAGCGCGGTGCTTACAGCGTTTGCTGGTGTCCGGGCGTTTGGATGTGTATAGCGATCCGGAGCACCATAACAGCCGGAGCGGCAGATGAAGCGGCCTTTGAAGGGCAACGCTGGGGAGAACAGCCATGCAAGAGAGACGAGACAAACAGGAAAACAGACAACAGCGGGAGGGAAAGAGGGATGGAAGCATGCGCGTGTCGGATGTTACCATTCCGCGCATGCAGAAGGCTCGGTTTGCAGTTTGTATCGTAGTACCTTTGGTAGCACACCATGCTGGTGCTGCCATCAGCCGCATTATTTACAGACGGTTGTTTCCGTTCATGCGCGCACAAACACATGTGCCGAAACTTTGAAGGCAGAAGTTAATGTGTGATCCAAACCGTGACATGCCACAACAAAAGAAAAGGAACCATGGGGAAAATCAGTCCGCAAAACACAGGTAATTCCAGGCGAAGCTGGAAGCCATGCCAGGCAAGACAGCGCCCAGCTTCGAAATAAGCCCAGCCCGAGTTTGGCGGGCCGTCGTGGTCGGTGGCATTCGGCTCCAAGGCAAGGCTACTCGGTGGGAAAATCCTCGTCGCGACATCGATGGTCGTAGGGCTTGAGGGGACGTTCGTAAGGCGTCGGCCGTCACCAGTCACGTTCGTAAGGCGTCGGCCGTCACCATTCACGTGATGCGTCACCGCCGGCGGCGTCAGTGCGTCGCGAGCGTGCGCCGCCGGTCACCAGCGGCAGAGTGGTGTTTGCGGCTCAGATCACCAGCGGCAGAGTGGTGTTTGCGGCTCAGATCACCAGCGGCAGAGTGGTGTTTGTACTGCGGATCACCAGCGGCAGGGTGGTGTTTGTACTGCGGATCACCTGCGGCAGGGTGGTGTTTGTAACGCACATCACCAGCGGCAGAGTGGTGTTTGTACTGCGGATCACCTGCGGCAGGGTGGTGTTTGTACTGCGGATCACCTGCGGCAGGGTGGTGTTTGTAACGCACATCACCAGCGACAGAGTGGTGTTTGTACTGCGGATCACCTGCGGCAGGGTGGTGTTTGTAACGCATATCACCAGCGACAGAGTGGTGTTCGTACTGCGGATCACCTGCGGCAGGGTGGTGTTTGTAACGCACATCACCAGCGACAGAGTGGTGTTTGTACTGCGGATCACCTGCGGCAGGGTGGTGTTTGTAACGCACATCACCAACGGCAGAGTGGTGCTTGTACCGCAGATCACCAGCGGCAGAGTGGTGTTTGTACCGCAGATCACCAGCGGCAGAGTGGTGTTTGCACCTCAGATCACCAGCGGCAGAGTGGTGTTTGCACCTCAGATCACCAGCGGCAGAGTGGTGTTTGTACCGCACATTGTGATCGGCAGAAGGTGTTTGTACAGCAGATCACCAGCTGCGGAGTTGTGTTCGTACCTCAGATCACCAGCGAGAGTGGTGTTTATATCGCAGATCACCAGCGGCAGAATGGTGTTCTGCGATTCTAGCGAGGGGAGGAGCAACCGGCAGTGGACCCCAAGACGCGTGTGCAATAGCAGGTGAGGGGAGGAGCAACCGACAGTGGACCCCAAGACGCGTGTGCAATAGCATGACAGCAAAATTCGGCTCCTGAGCCACCAAGTGGCTGAACTCTGCTTTAACTGCTGCCGGCAGTGCCGCTGGCCACTCGGCACGGTTGTCTTGGCTTGGCTGCGTGCTGCCGTGAAGACGCCACGCCCTTGTCGGCTCTCAGCTGTTGCCGGCGACCGCCCACTGTTACGCTGGGAGACGAAAGCTCCTGTGTGCTCCGCCTCACGGCTTTGTTGGTTGAAGAGAGAAGGCGTTGGCGATCTTTACACTCCAACGGTATCGCCTTTTCCCTGCAGCTCCAACCAGAAATTCCCCCCCAGCCCAGGGCCTCTTCCCGTCCATCCATCCGGGTTGCATCATGGCCGCATCGCCCCGCATGTTTAAATTTTGCAGAGCCCCGCACGATGCGTTATCTATGGCCGTCTTCCGCTGCAGGGAGTTGTACAACTGCCGCTCGGCGCCTCAGCTGCGGGTCGATTTCACTAATGATATTGCGGATCCCGCTCCAGGGCTGGTTGTCCGAGCGTGCACGCCAGCCCCTGACACCCTTTGCTTGATGAACCCACACAGGTGTTCTCTGTGGGACGGAGCTGAGTGGCTCAGGGAGGTGGCATGTCACGTGGTGTCACGGCGCGCGGGTCTCGTCCAGCAGTTCTGCAGTCTCAGGGACGCGATGTCGCCGGAGAGATCGGCCAGAACACGTATGAAGCTGATGTGCAGCGAGCGTGCAGGAAGGGTAGCGTAACTCCGTCCAGATGCTCCCCTCAGGGCTGTGTGCCTTCGACCTTGTTCCTACTGCGGACGATCGCTGGCCGGCTGACAGCCGCGATCCGAAAGCCGATCACATCAGCGACTTGCGCGGAAATCTGCGCTACCCTTGAACCCGACTTGACAATGAGAAAGACTGTGCCCCCCCCCCCCCCCCCCGGCTTGTGCGTAGTATCCCGCGTTGCCAGGCATCTGAGCGTCGCTATACGTGGAACGGAATTTGCGAACTACCATGGCGACCTTGTTTTGGACGCTGGATAGTGACTCCCGGGAAAGGTTGTGAATTCGGGCTCTACGGCGGTTTGCCTGGGGCTCCTTGACCTCGGGTGTCCTGGCGAGCTTCCGATCGCTCACCCCTTCTTCCTAAGTGTCTTCTCCAAGTGCGGCCGCTCTTCAAAATGGTCTTGCAGGGTGGGCGCTGGGATGTACCTACTGTGCCGGTGGCAGCCCTGAAGAGCGGACGTCCGGGTTCTTCGGGCATTCCAGCCGCCTCCTGGCCTGCCCCAGTGTGTCGAGTATGGCCCCTGGCATACACATTCGTCAATAAGTTAAATGTTGTTCACCGGCGCGCCTCGATGCCCTTAGCGTCCCGTGCAATGGTGGCTTTCAAACTGTCAGGGATTGTTTTGGGTTGACGTCTCGGCGGTGCCGTGTACCGTCTATGACGCCATCTATAGGCGCCTCTGCCGAGAGACTGACGTCACGGACGTGATGATTACGGCGGTGCCGTGTACCGTCTATGACTATATAGGCGCCTCTGCCGAGAGACTGACGTCACGGACGTGATGATTACGGCGGTGCCGTGTACCGTCTATGACTATATAGGCGCCTCTGCCGAGAGACTGACGTCACGGACGTGATCATTACACAACTGGCTTGGGAAGAATGGCATTGCATGGGCAAGACATGTTGCGCGAATAAGAGCGACCGTCGTAGCCATGTGCACCAGACATGCGCCGGCAGCTCCGCTACAAATCACAGGATACGATCGTGGGATCCGAGTGCAGGATCGTATTAACATGAAACCTCATGGGATTCTGGATCTACCCTTGCGATCAAGGCATTGCACACCGACTTTGTGCAAAAGCGTAGCACTCACCCGTTACTTGTTTGTCTCTTGTACCAACGCAGCATACTAGAAATTGTCGCACAGTTCAGCGAGTACTGGCGTATTGAATAGTCCCTAAAACATTTCAACGTCACAACTGTTTGACAGACAGTGCAATAATCGATCTCCAGTAAACTGTTGCAATAAACTGGCCATGCTAGCGCTGAGCTGGTGTGGCCAACACTCGTTCGCCATGTAAACACGGATGGCTGTTTCAATTAGCCGGGGGAGGACGGCCGCCAGCCGCCAGGACGTCCGGGGCGCTTCAGCCCGCTCCCGGTATGGCCGCCGTCAGGTCAGGCTCGCGCCATTTGCTGATACCCGCTGAAACGCGACCCTTCACAGGGTCTGACAATTCGCCTCTACAGAGTGGGGACGCCGCGAAGGCCTTCGTGGCCCCCATCCGGGCCGATTTGAGATGTTCGCTGCGTGGCGCGTAATCGCCTCTTGTATGACGTGTCCACAGTAAAGCCGTGTGTGTTACGCGCCCCAGACTGCCCAGCTCCTCGCTCGGGACGCAGTCGACGTTGGCGGCATATTGGTGTGACAACCCGAGGCGGCCGAGATCGCGTGCTGAATCCAGTCTAATGTCGGCGCGTCCCGGATTGCTCGGTTCCTCGCTCGGGACGCAGCCGACATTGGCGGCATATTGGCGTGACGACCCGAGGCGGCCGAGATCGCAGGCTGAATCCAGCCTTGTGTCGGCCGGCGGCCCCAGCGGCGGCGTCCCCGGCCGGTGCTGATTGACCGTTGACCTGTGGGGTGCGGTCGGCCGGCCGGTCCGGTGGCCTTTGTCATCGAGGTGTGCGTCAGGGCTGGCCGGACGCGTTAGTCACCGCTGCAAGAACTGGGGCCGATGGAACACCATCGCGTGCCAGTTGTACAGTCGAACACTCGGCAGTTGTTGGCTCACGGCTCGTGTGTGCAGTACGGAATAAAATGCGGCGTAACAGTCACAACATGCTTTACGGATGACGGCTGCAAATTCATTTGTGCGACGGTAAAAGCATTGAAGTGAGGTTTTCATTCCAATAGACTTCCGCTGGTAACTTAAGTTGTGCGTTACCGGATTAATACTGGGTTCGCCTGGTGATGCATGGTTCCGTCCCCCTAACGTGATAACATCTGAACAAAATTGACCCTTCCGTGGCTGGGTCTTAGTGGGCTTGGTTTGAAGCCAATCTGTCATCGCTATCGATTGGCCGCCACCCGGGATTCTGCGTACACCACTGCGAATTGTATTCTGGTGATGAAAGGGCAAGGTAAGCCGTCTGACGTTCGTACAAAACAAATACATTAATGCTTGGATAAACCTCGTCCTACCGTCTTCGGTGGAGAGAGAACCAAGTGCGAAGGCCGGAGAAAACGGTAGAAGAAACCCGGTAGCGTCGATACATGCGTATATATTAATTACGTGAATTAATGGAGGGACTTTAAGCTATGTATTATGTGTTAGGTGCACTCTGACCGTTTTTTTTTTTTTACTCACCGACGGAATTGGCTAGGTCGCTGTCACTCATACGATATGGGATACAGTTTCAGACTGAACGTCCCATAGCACGTGCCATTCCGCCCTGGTTTCCTCCCACTGCAAGAAGACCTAAGGCCTCTCCCCGCCCAGCGCCATCGCACCACTTCACCGGTGAAATTCACACTTCTCGGCACGGTGAGCGAGCCTCCCTTCGGCTTCGCCTACCGCGGCCGGTGGCTGTGGTGTCCGTGTATAGCGTTCGTGTCGCGTGTCGTCAGATGGCGCCGGTGCCGGTGTCGGCGGCGGCGGCACCCCTCCCGGCTAAGGGGGGTCAAGCGTCGGAGCCGCCCCTCAGTCACCCGAAGCTGGCCCGGCTGCGAGACCTGGTCCTGCAGCACTTCCGGGACGGCGCCGGCGGCGGCTCGACCACCCGGGCCATGATCTTCTCACAGGTTAGCCATGGGCAGGGGCGGGGGAGGCAACGGGGATCACCGGGACGGCGCCGGCGGCGGCCCGACCACCCGGGCCACGATCTTTTCTCACAGGTTAGCCATGCGCAGGGGCGGGGAGGGAACGGGGATCACCGGGACGGCGCCGGCGGCGGCCCGACCACCCGGGCCATGATCTTCTCACAGGTTAGCCATGGGCAGGGGCGGGGGAGGCAACGGGGATCACCGGGACGGCGCCGGCGGCGGCCCGACCACCCGGGCCACGATCTTTTCTCACAGGTTAGCCATGCGCAGGGGCGGGGAGGGAACGGGGATCACCGGGACGGCGCCGGCGGCGGCCCGACCACCCGGGCCATGATCTTCTCACAGGTTCGCCATGGGCAGGGGCGGGGGAGGGAACGAGGACCACCGGGACGGCGCCGGCGGCGGCTCGACCACCCGGGCCATGGTCTTCTCACAGGTTCGCCATGGGCAGGGGCGGGGGAGGGAACGGGGGACCACCGGGACGGCACCGGCGGCGGCCCGACCACCCGGGCCATGATCTTCTTACAGGTTGGCCATGGGCAGGGGCGGGGGAGGGAACGGGGACCACCGGGGGCCGCGGTCCTGCTACAGATCAGCCGCCGGTGTCCGGTCAGGGAAAAGGGAGGACTTCCCAGGCCGTGGTCAGCCACGGCGAAGGGCGGGGTTAGCTGTTGAGAGGAAACTGAGACCACGTGGTTCTAGCTTTGCAACAGGTCAGTCACCGGGACCGGGGTTAGTCAGGGTCAGAGGAAGCCGCCATGGGGAGGGTTTGCAGTCATCTGCCGGCCACTAATGCGGTGACCGGGTGTAACCATCCACGTGACCGACTGGGACCGTACCAGGCTGTAAATACGTTTGGCACACCGCTCAAACCATCTTAACCTCGGGAATACAAGTAATCGTAATTGGCGATTTTCACGCTTGCTGTTCTTTAGTAAGTTACGTGTTTTCTTGGCTTTTCCTTTGCCTGTCATAAAATGTAGCCACGTTCGTTCACTTCGATGCGCTTCATTGTATTCAGTCCCTCATGGCTCACCCAGATGCCTTGCCCATCGGGTCACCCACTCTTGTCGCGGCTCATTAATTCGTGGTGGCTATCCTGTGTGCACACGCAACGCTGAGAGTGCGGCACTGCACTCATGTTGGTCGCGTGAAGTTCATGACATGCGCGATGTGGTCGGCTCGGACTCAGACCCGGATATGAATCACCATGACCCGGGAAAGGGCCTGGGACCAAACGTGACTGCTTTCTCTCTGTCTCTCGATGATACTAAGAGCCGAATGAGCATGCATATTGTTAGTGATCGTTTAGACACCGACCCTTCCGTTCAACCGCCATAAGCAGAATCCATCAGCTATATTCCATTCAAACGGCCGGCTCTCCCCGTCCGGCGGGGCGGGACCGCGCCACGGCCGCGTGGTGAGGCGTAACATGAGCCCTGCCGCCTGCACAGTACCGCGAGAGTGTGCTGGAGATAGCGGCCGTGCTCCAGCACCTGCGCCCGCTGGTGCGACCCATGCACTTCATCGGCCAGACGGCCGGCCGCGTGTCGCGCGGCTTCTCGCAGAAGGAGCAGCTCAAGGTGGGCCGCCGGGCGGGGCGCACCACCACGGCGCCGATACGGCGAGGTCTCGTGTCGGCATACAGGGCGATCGGACGTTAACATGGACGTTATGATTTTAACGACCGTGTGATAATGTGGTGACACGCGCGGGTATGTTAACTCGTATGAAGTGCTCAAGCATGGTTAAACGACGATTGCGTTCAGAATAAATTGTTTGTGTTTTTGTTACCGTTATTTTCATTCGCAAGTCTATTTGATGTGTGGAAAGCGTTGCGTGGAAACGATGCAATGTCATACATTTGCCTTTATTATCGACGTAACGTTCCCGCCATCTATTGGGTGACAGACGGAACGTTAGTTCAATGTGTCTCCGCCAGGTGATCGCTGCCTTCCGCACCGGCGGCTACAACACGCTTGTGTCGACGTGTGTGGGTGAGGAGGGCCTGGACATCGGCGACGTGGACCTCATCGTCTGCTATGACGTCAGCAAGTCACCCATCAGTCTGGTGAGTCATAAGACTGTCCGTGTCTGCCAGATGTGCCCTATCCGGCAGCTGGTGCTCAATGGCAGGTTTGGTTTGATCATTTTTTCATGCCAACATTGGCAAGCTTATAGATGTAATTAGATTTTCTCCGGATGCAGGCAAACCTCCTGCTGTGCGTCCCCGTCGGTGTCACGCTCACGAGCAGGAGTGGGCGCGGCCCGGCTCGGCGTACGCTGACGCCGCGCCACCGTCTCGCCAGGTGCAGCGGATGGGCCGCACTGGCCGCAAGCGTCAGGGCCGTATCGTGGTGCTGGTGACGGAGGGTCGCGAGGAGCGCCTCTACGGCCAGAGCGTCTACCAAAGGAAGGCCGTCCTCGGCGCCATCATGTCAGGTGGGCTCGGTGGGCCCGGCGCCGCACGGGCTGCGGGCCGGGGGATGCCCGGCGAGGGAGGCCGGGGACGGATGCTGACCGAGGGGTGCCGGGTGAGGAATGCCGGGAGGGGATGTGGAGTGGGCGGCGCCTAGCGAGGGGTGCCGGGCGAGGGGCGCCGGGCGAGGGGCGCTGGGCAAGGGGTGTCGAGCGAGGGGTGCCGGGCAAGGGGTGTCGAGCGGGGGGTGCCGGATGAGGGAGGGATGCTGAGCGAGGGATGCAGGGCGAGGGGCGCCGGGCAAGGGGCGTCGGGCGAGGGGTGCTGGGTGAGGGATGCCGGGCGAGGAATGCCGGGCGGGGGATGTCGAGTGGGCGGCGCCTAGCGAGGGGTGCCGGGCGAGGGGCACTGGGCAAGGGGTGTCGAGCGGCGAGTGCCGGGCGAGGGATGTCGGGCGAGGGATGCCGGGCAAGGGACGTCGGATGAGGGATGCCGGGCGAGGGATGTCGAGTGAGAGATGCCGGGCAAGGGGTGCCGGGCGGGGGACGCCGGCCACACTTCGCGTGTGGTCTGCCTCTTCGGCATCACTTGACATGCGTGAACAGGGTTTGTTTTGGTTTGTGGTTGTGGTTGTGGTTGGTGGAAAACGGTTTGTTTTGGCTCTGCAACAGGCAGGTATCTTTCCCTTTCGCAAGTATTCTACCAAGCGGATGCGTCTATGAATGATCCTGAAAGTGGGGCTATCATTCGGTGATGTCTTCCGTATTCCCTTGCCAAATGCCATTCCGTTCTCTGATCTACTCCTCCCTCCCCCCCCCCCCCCGCCACACACACAGAAGTTTTCATTCGCGTTGGTACTATTACGCTCGATGCTGCACAAACACCACAATCTGACCCCGGCCTGGACCCCCCACCTGACCTGGTCGCCGCGAGACAGGTGCCCGGCGGCAGCCCCAGCTGTACCGCCAGCGTTTGACCGCCGCCTCCCGCCTGCGGCGCCCACCTGACCTGGCCGCCGCCGACAGGTGCTCGGCTGCAGCCTCACCTGTACCGCCACAGTCCACGCATGGTGCCGCGGGGTCTGACGCCCGTCTGCCAGCGGCTGCACATGATGGTGGCGTCCCCGCCGCCGACGCCGGCAGCCGGCGGCGGTGGCGGCCCCCGCGGCCGGTCGGACGGGCCGCGGCCGGCCGCGCGCCGCCGCCGGCCGCGGCCGACTGACCAGCCTGCTGGCGTCGCTGGCGCCCGACCGAGGCCCGGCCACCGCCGCCTACCTGGACGACGCCGAGCTGCGGGACTGGGACGCCCGCTTCAAGCTGCGGCCCGGTGACGGTGCGGCGCGTCGGCTGCCGCCCAGGGGCCGCCGGCCCGCCTCTGACGGGTGCACAGGTGGGCTGCGGGGGGGGGGGGGGGCGACGCTCGACAGACGGAGGGCGGTTGGGCTGCCGGGGAGACGAGCAGCTGGAGGAGGGGGGCCTGGTGAAGGGTGAACGGGTTACGCGGAGTACGCTCTGTCGGGCGAGCTGAGCATGACTGCCTTCATACCGAACAGCAGGACAGCAGAGAGGCGGGTGGCTGATTGAGGGAAGCGGTTCAGCTGTGGCGTACAGGGGCCAGCTATCACTAGGCGGGATGGCTGGGTCGGGCGGAGCAGAGCGGGCGGTCAAGACCGCACAACGGGCCCGCCTGCTCCTGCCCGTGCTCTCGACGCCTGGCCCCATAAACCGGGCATGATGTCACTCGGAGCTGAGGCGGCCCCGGAGCTTAGACGGCATCGGAGCTGAGGCGGCCTCGGAGCTGAGACGTTGTTGGGGCTGAGGCGGCAGACGAGCTGCGGCGGCCACAGAGCTGAGACGGCAGACGAGCTGGCCCGGTGTGGTCCGGCCGTACTTGGTGCATCGCACGCGGGTCCTGCTGCTCTCCGTGGCGCCACCACCTCGCCTGTCGTCCAACAGCCGACGAGGAGCCTGCGGTCTCGCCCCCGCGCGCGCGTGCTCTGACTGTTGGCATGCCCCCACGGCAGGCGGGCCGGCACCGACACTCCGGCTGCACGACTGGCTGCCTTGGCAGACCACGCTGCAGCCCACCCACCACGTGTCCCACTCGGCCGTCTCGCGCAACCTGGTGCGCATCCTGGGCTTCATGGCCTCGCAGGCGGACGCCGACAGCGACGTCTACGATCAGGAGATGAGGGCGCTGCTCAGGCCGGAGGACGTGCAAGGTGAGAGCCGGGCGCGCTCTCGCCCTCCCAGCATGCGCCTGTTGTGACCACGTGCGCTGCTCTGACGGGCAAGGTGGGAGCCAGGCGCGCTCTTGCCGTCTTGGCGCGCGTTTATTGTGACCACGTGCGCTGCTCTGACGTGCAAGGTGGGAGCCGGGCGCGCTCTCGCCCTCTCAGCGCGCGCTTGTTGTGACCACGTGCGCTGCTCCGTGTTGAGCAGCTGTGTTTTACAATGCGGCAGACACGAGCAAGTTGCCCTTCCAGGAGAAGTAAGCCCATGCCATTCAATGTGAGGTCCCCCAAACGAAAGCATTAGAACGTACTGGCGACATCCGACAACAGCTGCCCGGCATCGCAGCTGACTGCTGTCATGTCCACCGGCTAGCGCTAACTGAAACGCTGCGTCGCACACGCGCCATTGCAGCAGAGCTGTGTGTACAAACACCCTTCCTTGTTGATCCCGCCAGGATATTGTATGGGATATGCGGTCTGGCACTACTCTGCAGCCGTGTGTTACAGGTAGCTTGTTTTTAGATTTGGGTGTTGTGCGCCGTTTGGACTTCCTCTGTCGTATATGACGGATATACACAGCCTGCCTTAGAAATGTAGGATACAATGGCACATGGTCCTTCTGCGTGGAGTTTCAGTTGCCAAGCTTGTCACCGAACGAAGTCAATTTGTGTGACAGTATGTAACATGCATAACTTTTTCCTCGTTCGAAATTTAACTAGCAAGAGATGTGTGCGGACACCGCTTGGGTACAATCGACGCGATAGTTTGACGCGGTTTTCTACTGATGCCCAACACCGGCGCGTTACGGTACGCGGCGCTGTCAGTGCGTCCGACAACATACACACACATCCGCGGTCATCGTGCAGAATCCTGGGAGCAGGACTTGCTGTGCTGTGTCCATGAAATTATGACCACGGCATAGCGGTCAAAAGGCAGGTGACGTGCGTGGCATAAACCACCCCGCTTGTCCGTTTTTGTACTGTTCGATAAGTCCCCACGCATTACAGCACATGAAAGGCCTTTATCGCGAAGGCGTTAGGATCCGTTTGGTTGTAGCATGACTCCGGCAGCCGATACACCCGAAAAGTTTGATACTTAATCCATTAGATATGCACATTTGCGAATCTCTGTGCTTAAATGTACAACCACCACTATTAAAAGATGCGCTTCAGTTCATGCTATTTCATTTCAAAATCATGACAGTGTGCTGAGCTTCATGTGGTCTTCTTCAAAGGCCCGCCTCTGATCATTGATCGGCCGTTTCAGAGCCCGCCGCCGCAGCGCCAGCTCCAGTTCCAGCACCAGCGCCAGCGCCCTGTGGCGTGGCCGACCTGAGCGGGCTGACGGAGCAGGAGCAGCTGGAGGAGGCGGTGCGCCGCAGCCTGCTGGAGACGGGCTCGCCGCCGCCGCCGGCGCCGCCCGCCGAGCCGGAGCTGGTCTGGCCGGCGGTGCGGCCGCCGCCAGCACCGTTCACGGGCTGGGCAGCGCCGGCCAAGCTGCTGCGCGCTCTGACTGAGGCGCTGGCGGCGCCGCCGCTCGGCCGGCCCGAGAGCGGCCTTCTGCTGGCGGCCGAGTGGAAGCCGGAGCGAGACGGCCGCCTCCTCGGGCCCGGCCACCGGCAGTGCGGCCTGAGCGGCGCGGAGCGAGACCCCGGTCACAGTCTCGGCTGTGGCAGCGGCGGCGGCCAGCCGGCGGCGGCGCCTCGCCTTGAATGGTGTCCTGAGGGGAAGCCGCGCGGAGACTCGCCGCCAAGAGCGGCGGCGTCCGGCCGACCGGCGCTGAACAAGCCGCTGTTCAACGAGTCGCTTCCCAGCGGTCTGTTGGCCAGAGCCTCGTTGCTCAAGGAGTCACCGGTGAAGGAATCGTCTTCCACGGACGCATGCCCCAAGGAGTCGTCGCCTGTAGAGTTGTGGCCCATGGAGACCTGGCCGATGGAGCTGGCGGCCGAGGAGCTGGCTGCGCCGCCGGAGGACGGCGCCCCGTGGCTGGGAGGTGGCGACCGCGCGCCGGTGGCCGGGGCCGCGGCTCCGGCCGCTTCACCGCCCTGCGCTGGGCTTCAGGCCACCACCGACGACGACTCGCCGATCCTGCCGTCGCAGAACCCGAGCAAGCGGCGGAAGCTGTCGCGCCGCCACGGCACTCGGCTGTTCACGCCGGCGGGCGCGGACTGTGCTTCCCCGGCAGCTGTGGCTGCGGAGGCCGCTGCGGACGGAACGCCTCACGTCAAGGAGACGGCTCCGCCGCCGCCGCCGCCGCCGCCGCCGGCGCCGCCGCCGCCGGCGCCGGCCGCTCCCATGCGGCGGCCATCCAGCGAGGACCTGTTCGCCGACGACGAGAGTCTGTTTGCCTGTTTGGAGGAGCCTGCTGGATCTCTGGGCTTCGAGACGGCACCGACGGACGGCGTCAGCGGTCCTGGTCGTGCGGGTTCTGCCTCGGCCAGTCAGCAGCGCTGGGGCCACGGAGAGGCCCCTCCGGTGGCACCACGACCGGAGGCGCTCTCGGCGGACTCTGGGATGAGTCCGGCCCCGCCCTCCGCCCGCCGCCGCCGGCCCTCCGTCCTGCCGCTCTTCGACCTGGGCTTGGGAGGCGGCGTGTTCGCCGACCTCTCGCCGTCGCCGCCGGCCCCAGACCTGGCCGCCGCCGGCGCCGTGCCATCGGCGCTGACCGCGGCGCCGCTACTCGCTCCCGCGGGCGCGGAGGGCCGCGTGACACCGCTGCCGTCCGCAGCCTCGGCGGCGGCGCCACGGCCGGAAGCCAATGGCTCGCTGCTCACCACCACCCAGCTGCTGGCGCTGGTGGACCGGAGCGACGCGACGACGCCGGCGCGGTCCGGCCCGTGCCGCGGCTCCGACGCCGCCAGTACGTCGTCAGGCGCGGGGCGGCGCGGTGGGCAGCCCGTGTTCGACCTGTTCGCCGACTTCTTCGAGGACAGCGTTGTGTTCGACGACATTGTGGAGGAAGCCGCGGACGAGCCAGCGGCGGAGGCGGCGGCGCTGGTGGGCCCGCCGTTTACGGTGACCCGGGCCCGCTCGCCGGAGTGCGAGGGAGACCCGCCGTGCGTGTCGCCGATCGTGGCCAGTCAGAGCGGGCCGAGTGCCGGCCACCGGCGCCACAGCACGCCTCTCCGAGCGCCGCGACGCTCGCGCGGTCACCAGCGCCACAGTACGCCGCTGGCCCGGCCCCGGCCGCCGCTCGGTCGGCGGGCGTGCGGCGCGACGCCTCCGGTGCCGGCGGCGGTGCCCGGCGCCGACGCTAGTGACGCCGACCTTTGGGCGGACGACAGCGCCTTCGAGGCGCCGCGCTGTGGGGTCGGACGACCGCTGGCCGGCAAGGACAGCCCGCTGGCCGCACCTGGCGTGTGTGTCCCAGACAAAGACAGCCCGCTGGTGCTGCCTTTGATACGTGCGGCAGACACGGACAGCCCGGTGGTCCGTCCCTTCTCACGCGCGCCCGACACGGACAGCCCAGTGGCCCGGCCAGCGGCGCGCCGGGGAGCCCGCCGCCTGGCGCGGATCTGCGACAGCGAGGAGGACTCGCCGTCGCCCGGCCGGGCCGCCGCCGAGCTCTCCCACAGCGCGGCCGGCCGCCGCTCCCGCGATGGCTCCCACTGCACGAACGCCTCCCACCAGACGGATGGCTCCCTCAAGACGGGCGGCCCCCACCGGACGGACGGCTCCCACCGAACGGACGGCTCCCACAAGACGGACGCTTCCCACCGGACGGACGGCTCCCACCAGTCGGACGGCTCCCGGGAGGCCTCGCGTGCCAATGACTCTTCTGTGGAGCGGCCCCATATACAACATAAGAGGAGAAAGGTGAGTTGCAGTGGGCTCGGCTGCATGTGGTGTGCGCAGGCGGTCAGATGTGGCGGTCTGTTTAACGATTAAATTGTGGGCGGCGCGTAAATCTGTTCACGAGTTTTTCTTCTTTTACATACCAGGCGCGAGCCCGTACGGCTCCGCTGCTCTGCATGTCAAGTGCTCAGTTGGCGCACGTGTTTTGCTGGTTAGTCACAACCTCGGCCATCTCAGCGACTTACAGATGCCAATTGGGGTCTTGGCACGGCTCCATACCAAAATGCTGTCCTCTGCCACTTATTTTCTGAGCCGAACGGAGTGCAGGCGATGAGCTTAATCCGATGAGCG